CTTAGAGACATTTAACCAACAATGAAGAACTTCCTAAACCAGAGAGCATCAGACATACACAGGCTCAGTGCTGAGCAAGTGGCAGCCATTCTCTCCAGGGGACAGGGAGGGGTTTCTTAACTCTTTAATGAGGCTAGCATTGGCCTACTACCAAAACATACAATGGTTTTTATAGGAAAATGATAGACCAATATTTCTAATGAATAAAGATGTGAAAAACCTCAGCAAAGCAGACAAATTGAATTCAGCATTGTGTAAAGAATTACACTGAGTACAAACATCATTTAACACAGTTATATGAAGCTGACCTCAAAACCAATTAATGAAACCTAATCTATTAAGCTGAAGTTTAGAAAACCAGAGGCCTATCAATAGATTCAGAATAGCACTTGATAAAAATCCAATGCCCACTCATGATAAAAAACCTTTAGTGAACTAGGAAGGTAACTTTCTCCACCTGACTTTAAAAAAAAAAAAATCCTACAAAACCTTCCCGCGAACACCGTATTTAATGGTGAGAAAGTGTAACACTTCCCATAGATTTCAGGAGTAAGGTACAGATGTTTTCACTTACCATTCCATTTCATCACGTTGGGAGTCCCAGCTCTTCAAGGAAATAAAACGCATACGACTGCAAGAAGAAATAAAACTCTTTGCTCACAGCAGTCACAGCATGTAAATGTCCATTGTGAGGCCGTGGAACATGGCCTTCTTAGGGTTACTGTTGCTGTGATGGAGCACCATGACCAAAAGCCACCTGGGAAGCAAAGGCTTTGTCTGGAAGTCAGCACAGGAACTCAAACAGGCAGGAACCTGGAGGCAGGAGCTGATGCAGAGGCCATGGAGGGGTGCTGCTTACCAACTTGCTCAGCCTGCTGTCTTACAGAAGCCAGGACCACCAGTCCAGGGGTGGCCCCACTCACAATGGGCTGGGTCCTCCCCCATCAATCACTAATTAAGAAATGCCTTACTGGCTTGTCTACAGCTGGATCTTATGGAGTCATTTTCTCAACTGAGGCTCCCTCCTGTCTGATGACTCCAGCTTGTGTCAAGTTGACATAAAACTAACCAACACCATGGCATAATTGGTCAAGTGTTTGCCTGGAAAGCATGAAGACCTGAGGTTGTATCCTTACAACCCATGTAAAAGTCCAGGTGTTGTATACCCTGGAATCCTGGAGATGGCTAGATGGGAGGCAGATATTGGTGGATCTCTGGAAGCTTGTAGACCAGCCATTCTGGCCTACATTCTAAAATCCAAGACATGAGGCTCTGTCTCAAACAAAAAAGGTGGAAGGTGCCTGAGGGAACAACATGAAGGTTGACCTCTGACCTCCATATGTGCAAATCTACATCCACACACCTACACACCCACATAAAAAGTCCAATACTTTTTTTTCTTTACATCCCAGCAAGAAATAGGGAATTTGAATTTAAAACACAGAATCATTTATCTTGCCTTAATGTAAATCTAATAAAATGTATCCAAGTTTTATATGAACAAAACCACAGAAGTACAAGGAAAGAAAAACAGAGACATAAACATGAACACTCTGTTCAAGGGCAGGGAGATGCAACGTTGTCAAGGTATCAGTGCTTTACTGTTTGATCTGCACGCTCAAAACAATCCTCACCCAAACCCTAACAAGTGAATTGAGAGTGCTAAGGAATGTAAAGATTGTGTGAAAACACACATGTCCAAGGAAGGCTAATGGTGGTGAAGGAGGACCAAGCTTGGGCACTGACACTGCCCAACTTCAAGACTGATGATAAAGCTATTGTCACCAAGACACTAAACTAAAAGACAATTCAATGGAACAGAGTAGAAAGCCCAGAGATGACCTGTGACCGGAGCCGAAACAGGATGGAGAGATCATCTTTGCAACAAGTGGTCCTGAGACACCTCCACATCCACATGCCAAAACAAGCAAACAAACAAACAAACAAACAAACAAATTTGGACACAGATCTTATAAATACTAATTCAAAATGGATCACAGATGTAAATATGAGATGCAAGATTATAAAACTCCTGAAAGATATGACCTTGGGTACAATGATGAGCTTTTAAGTGTAGCACCGAAAGCATGACCCATGACAGGAATAAATGACAAGCTATACTTCCATTACAATTAAAACCCTGTCAGATACAAATGATATTTATGAAAAAGAACATTTACCCCAAAACACACAACTTATACAATTTAACGTTAAGGAAATTAGTGACCTAACTTAAAAATCAAGTCACATTGGAAGACAGTTTGACCATTTGTCTTTAATTTTTTATTTTAATTAGCATACAAAGAATTAAGTTTCATTTTAGTAATTTTCAAGAGTTTGGCAATTTCTTATAAAATCAAACATATTAGCAAAAAAAAAAAAAAAAAAAAAAAAAGGTTGCAAATGCCTTTATTCTCAGCACTTGGGAACAGAGGCAGGCAGATCTGTGTGTTCAAGGTTAGCCTGATCTACAGTGTGAGTTCCAGGCCAGTCAGGGATACATAGTGAGATCTTACCTTAAAATTTTTTTTTTTAATTAAAAGTTAAAGCATATTCTTACCATATGACCTAAAAATTTCCACCCTTGATATTTACCCAAAGGAGTTCAAAATACTTCCATATAAAAGCCTACAAATGGATGCATACAACAGCTTTATTCTTAATTGTGGAAATTTGGATGCTATTGAGATGTCCCTCAGTGGGTAAGCACTGGAGCAGAATTCAGCAGTTCTCAGAATGAGTGTCAAGATACCCAGCGGTAACCTTCTGGGCATGTGATTGTGTGAAAGCTGATGTGCAAATACTGTCAATTATGTGATCTCAACTACGTAATGTTTCAGAAAAGACAGAAGTTACAGAGACAATAAAAATCAGTGACTGCCAAGATGCTAGAGTGCTGGTGGCCATGTCAGAGGAGCAGCAGGTGGCAATTGAAGTCCAAGGTGTCAGCCCACCAGGAGGAAACTCTCTGATGAGTCAACCTTGGCTAGGCAAGGCCCGAGACCCCAGACCCCAGAATGTCTCTTGCTTCTGCTGTGCCTTTACATGTTTGATGCCATCTTTCTCTGGTATCTGGTATGGTGTGAATGGTGTGGGGAGATCCCCACTGCTTGTGATGTAGTGTTTATCTCATGGAAACATCCAATTCTGCCGGGCATTTTTACCTGTGGATTGTCGTGATTCCTCCTTAAGCTGTACTGTCTAATTGCTAATAATAATGTTAGCTTATACAGAGTTTTGATGAATAAAAGTAAATACAAGGAAATGTTATACAGCTAGAGCATGAGTTCCACCAAAGGAGCTGCATTAGATCACAGCTCAAGTTAATGATTAAGAGAAACAACTGAGTCCCAGGAACCAGGCTAGCTCTAATTCCCTTTCTCTTGATGCTGAAAGACACAGTCACAGGTTTCAGTGTGCACCATTAGCTGACACAAAGCTTTAAAATAACTTCAGATTAGATCAGATGCTTTGATAATAACCTTTAGATGTAAACCCCAGAAAACAATCTAAAGTTCACAAGGACACATAGCTGAGTTATAGATTCATGTTATGTTATGTTAGGGTCAAAAATACAAAGCAATCTGTTGATAGCTGATGTACTTTCCTTGCTAAGTCTGGTTGATGATCAAAGGTGATGATTAATTCCTTGTGCCCTTTCCTGTCCTCAATTTCCTGATATAAGAAACTATTTATGAATGGGTATACACCCTAAAGATTCAAAGTTCAGCTGACTGACTGCTTTTATTAATGCATAATTTTTAGGTTTGTGGTTCCTTTAAGATTCCTTATAAGTTTACTTTTCAAGATAAATAATAAAATGACTGATTCTTTCTTTGTAACTGCAATATGCAGCCTGCCAACAAAAGAACTGGCTGAGAAGAAAATGCTCCTTGCTTGCTCATGTTCTGTTAATGTAAATGTATGTGGGTTATTAGGGTGACTGTTTTTAATCATGTAAGGGGGATGAAAAAAATATTTTTACCTGTTTTCATGATAATCACTCACTTGAAAAACAGAATGTAACCACATTGTGATTCCTGTATGGACTGAAAGATTTTGTTGGGTATATAAGCTGTAGAGGAAAAGAGAATAGGATAAAAAAGAAAAAAACCATCAAGAGAGTGTGTGTTTTTTTCCCTAATCACCTCAGGTAGAAAAGTCTTAGCATGTGCCAGCATTGTGGATTCCTTTGGAGCCCTGGACTGTCTGGAGGCTGGTCCCCCAGGTAGCGATTCCAGAGGTCATGGGGAAGGAAAAAATGAATCCAGGGCACGTAAGGCATATTTAAGAATATGAAATGCTGTAGATATCACTCTGTATAAATAAAATGCTGACTGCCCAGTAGCCAGGCAGGAAGTATAGGTGGGGCAAGGACAGAGGAGAGAATTCTGGGAACAGGAAGGCTGAGTCAGAGACACTGCCAGCTGCCACCATGAGTACCAACATGTAAGATACTGGTAAGCCACGAGCCATGTGGCAAGGTATAGATTTATAGAAATGGGTTAATTTAAGATAGAAGAACTAGATAACAAGAAGCCTGCCATGGCCATATAGTTTGTAAGCAATACAAGTCTCTGTGTGTTTACTCGGTTGGATCTGAGCAGCTGTGGGACTGGCGGGTGAGAGAGATTTGTCCTGACCTTGGGCTAGGCAGGACCAGGAAAACTCTAGCTACAATGAAACTTTTATATGGCACACATCCTGATGATTGATGTGTTATATACTTGTCAAAGCCCACAGATGTGAGCAACAACAGTGAATCCTAGTGCACACTGTTGACTATAATTATGATGTCAACACACATTCATTAATGTTGATACATTTACCATTTTGGGAGAGGATGCTATGAGCGAGGCTATAATTAGTATGGGGCTTGACTCACATGAACTCTGTACTTTTTATTCAGTTTTGCCCTGAATATAAGATTGTTTTAAAAAAATAAAGTCTACCAAAAAGAAAATAAAACAACAAAACCCATCATAAAATGGGTTAACAAGTTCTATATTAATTTTTATTTAAGAGTGCATATGATATAAAAATTTTATTTCATATTACATAGATAATGCTTCTTATCTAGTATCCATTACCATGAATCCCTTTGGTTTTCTCCCCTTAGGCTGCTGCAGATGACTATTGCCTTCACAGAGGAGAATTAAAGGCACTGGGAAGGCCCCTGTCCCTCAGGATTTTGAAAGGCATTCAGTACTATGGATATATTATTCAAAGATGAGTGAGAAACAGTCCTGAGATTGTTTTCATAGAATTACATTTCATGTTCGTTTAGACTTAACTATTAACACCTGCTGAACGTAACTACTGCTCACTCTTCTGTGACAGCATCAGTATCCAGCTTCCAATTTCCACTCTTTAAAGTATTTCTCCATTGTGTTCCGAGACTTAAAGGAGCCAACATTTACAGTTGGTATGATTTTCTGTGGTTTCAGCCACTGGACAAAACGTTTCATTTCTAGGAAGCTGCTGTGTTCACTATAGGGAATTCCTGTAAGATCAAAGGGAAGAGATTATTTACTAAAAACCAAAATAATAAAAATAAAAGAAGATAGAAAAGCAATCTAGAATATTGTTGTTAAAAAACTCTGGTGCTTTAGTTATGAAACTTGATGTCTTTATGATTAATAAAGATTAAAACATTAACATAGAACTCAGGGCACATACACACAAAAACCAAAAAACACTACTTTTAAATGCACATACCTAAAATATGCATTTTTAGAATTATATTTAATTTGGATTTTCTGCCTCTAAACTAGTAATTCTCAACCTGTGGGCTGCAACCCATCTGGGGGGTTGAACAACCTTTTCACAGGGATCACCTAAGACCATCAGAAAACACAGACATTTATATTACAATTCATAACAGTAGCAAAATTACAGTTTTGAAGCAACAACGAAAACAATTTTATGGCCGGGAGTCACCACAACACGAGGAACTGTATCAAAGGGTTGTGTGTGGCATTAGGAGGGTTGAGAACCACTGCTGGAAACACTTGACTCGGCTGTGGACTTCAGGAGAACTGGAGGAAACATGAGGAAATGGGAAGACCAGCAAGCAGGGGACCTTGGGTCTCTAGTGTAAGCCAACGGCAGTGCCAAGCTGTACCCACATAAAAAGCACGAAGGAAAAATAGAGTTCTAAAAATCCCCTTGTCTTTTTACAGCTAAAGTCCCATGGAGGAGGGTCACGAGAGTCCTCTGAGTGAACTAGTCCTCAGTGGTCTGGTGACACAGCACATGTCTACCTACCGTCAGGGTTCTAAGGCAGCTCGGAGGGCAAGGTAATCCTCTCCTCCCAAGGGACCAAAGCACAAAGGCGGCTGCACCAGCTGTCACCCCTGCAGTCACCACATCTAAGCCACCTCTTCCTACCACAACCTCACTCTTCCTGTCAGCTGACCTGGGTATCAAACCACAGCATTGTCCTTTCAAGTAACTCTATCGTTTCCTCTAAGTACCACTTACTACAGCATGCAGCAATCTGCGTTAGCAGCATCGGAACATCACCAACTCTTGTCTGCCGACTTACAAGAGACTGGGTAGGAATTCAGCGTTGTAGAGAGCCTTGAAACTCTAGAGTTGCTAAATTCTTTGCCGTCTGTTTTTCTTGGTTCTTAATTTTATAGTACTTTTAAGGAATGAATAGTAACAAAAACATTAAAAGTGAGAAATTCTGGACCAGAGAGATGGTTCAGTGGGTTAGGACACTTGCTGCCATGCCTGATGACCCAAGTTCGATCCCCAGGACCCACGTGGCAGGAGAGAACCATCTCCTGCAAGCAGTCCTCTGAGCTCCACATCTACATATGGTGTATGGCACAAATAAAGACATGTAATGAGAAATTGGAACCATCTTACCATATATTGATATATTCCCTTTCGTCTGGGGAGTAATATCCGCTATGCTAGTTATGCTGTTAGAATGTGTCCATCCTGTAGGTCGGAAAGCCACAATCTGATCGTATTTCCCACCACACTTCTTCAAATGGTTCTGTAAGCCCTGTTAAATAGAAACGGTGCATTGATTCGCTGGTCAGTGTCAACAGAGGCAGACTGTGTGGGAGTAAAGGGCGAGATTAGAGACCAGCACTGACAATCACAGGTAGTTAGGACTGCTGTTAAGACTGCTGTGCAGCAACCCAGGGCCATGCTGCTAAGGGGACAGTCACGGGAAATACACACAGCTTCTCTTTTTGACTTTCCTAAACAAGCTAAGGCAATGGCTGGAAAAAAGTACCATGAATCATCTGAAAGCTAAGAAATGGAGTTAAATAAATTATGACTGAGGGAGCTGTAAAACCCCACCTCTTTCCAAACCCCACATACAGAGACATTAATATCGATAACACTAAACATAAATGCAACATAAGCCTTTGAATATAAGCTGACAGGGGACACAGAAATCACCAGCTAAGAGTGGCACTGTCCTCAGTACAGACACACACTTTAAAAATGTACCACAGCACTCCTCTTGGGCCTTTGCTTTTTACCCTTCAGCCGTGAACTGGACTCTTCTTCAGTCTTCAGGCCACTGTAGTAGAAGTAATGCACTGTTTTAGTCACTGTCCTATCGCTGAGGAGACACCACAACAAAGGCAGCTCTTACAGACAAAGTGCTTAACGGGGTCTGTTTACAGTTCCAGAGGCTTAGGACGGTATCCTCACGGCATGATACGCGCGGGCATGGTGCTGGAGGAGCAGCTGAGAATTCTACATCCTGAACCAAAAGCAGAGACTGGGCCTAGCATGGACTTTTGAAACATCAAACCTGCCCCCCCCACAAGTGACACACCTCCTCCAACAAGGCCACACTGTCTAATCTTTTCAAACAGTGCCCCTCCATGATGACTAAGCGTTCAAATATATGAGCCTATGGGGGCCATACCTATGCAAGCCACCACATTCCCCTCAGACCCCATTGGTTTGTGGCCACATCATAATGCAAGTGCATTTAGTCCAACTTCAAAAGTCCCCATACTCCATCACAGTCTCAATAATACTTAAAAATCCAAACTTCAAAGTCTCTTCTGAGACTCATGCCATCTCTTAACTGTAATCCCCTATAAAATAAAAATAAAAATAACAGATCACATACTGCCTGTTAGCATTCTGGCCCGCCCAGCACCCTGACAACATCATCTTATGTAAAGTCCTCTTTAAGAGAAACCCCTCCCCCTTCTCTCTCTCTTCCTTCCTCTCTCGCCATGAGGTGGTGTGCACCTCGTCCTTCCTTTTCTCTTTCTCCTCTCCTCAGACCTGTCCATTTCCTCTTTCTCCTCCCCTCCCTTCCCCCTTTGAAAAAACTTCCCACGTGGGTGCCATCTGCATGGTGGGACGGACTTCTGGCCATGCCCCTTGGCTCCGCCCACCAAGGCCACTGCAGCGCCTTTTTAAAATACAAGACTTCCAACATACAATGGCACAGAATATACACTGCCATTCCAAAAGGGAGGAAAGGGAGCATAGTGAGGAAATACTGGACTAAATCAAGACTGAAAACTCAGCATGTCAAACTCCAAATTCTGCATCTCCATGTTTGATGTCCAGAAGCTCTTCAGATCTCTAACTCCTTTCTCTTGGGCTGGTTCCACTTCCTGTCAGCAGCTTTCCTCGGCAGGTATCCTATGACTCTGGCATCTCTAACATCTTGGGTTTTCCAAAGCAATTCAGGCTTCACCTTCAGAGCTTCACACAACAGCCTCTCTGGACCTCCATGCAAGGACATCCCTGACACACTCCTGGCCATGGAGGGAGACTCCATAACTCCGCTCTTCTATACTTGACTCTAAAGCCAGGACCACGTGGCTGAAGCTGCCAAGTTCTGCCGCTTAGTGGGGCTGGAACATGGCCCCCTCGTTCAATTACATCTTCACCAGCTTTCTGTTGGAGATGGTTTCCTTCACTGCCTAAGCTTTTCTTCAATTTCTTTTCAGAAGTTGGAAGCTAACAGGGTGGGGTCTTGCCCTGAGGTCCCCACTCCCTTTATTCCATGTACTGCCAGGCTTTTCTTTAAACTTTTTATCTCCTTGAGCACTGGACTTAACTCCTGGTGCTCCCTTTCTCCTTAAACTGTACATTTTGTATCTTTCCTTGCTCAGTTTGCTCCTTTTCATTGTAGACATGCATAAAACTGATTACTAATAATCACATAATAATCACATGACACAGTCAATAATAGGCTGTCTTGGAATTTCCTCTGCCAAAATGCCATTAATCTAAAACTCTTTAGGAAGTTTTTTTTTTTTTTTTTTATTTTAGGACAAGGTAAAAAAAAAAAGCCACATTCATTGCCATAACATCACAAGAATGGTCTCTAGGCCATTTACTAATATGCTTTCCCTCTGAAACTTCTTGATCTGGTCTCCCACAGATCAAACCACCCTCAGCACTGTCTTCCATGCTCCTCCTAGGATGGCCCATTAATCTTTGTTTAAAGTGTCCAACTCCTTTTCTAGTCCAAACTACCAAAGTCTTCCACATTCCTCCAATAAACATCAATACCCCAGTCTCTGGTACCAACTTCTGTCTTAGTCACTGTTCTATTTCTGTAAAGAGACACCATAACCAAGGCAATTTTTTTTATAAAAGAAAGCACTTAAATTGGAGGCTTGCTTACAGTTTCAGAGGTTTAGTCCATTAACATCAAGTAGGAAACAGACAGGCATGGTGTGGAGAAGTAGTTGAGATCTACAACCTAATCCACAGAGACAGAGAAACTAGGCCTGCCATGGGCTTTTGAAACCTCAAAGCCCATCCCCAGTGAAACACTTCCTCCAACAAGGCCACACCTTCTAGCCCTTCTCAAATAGTGCCACTTCCTGATGACTATGTATTCAAACACACAAGCCTACGGGAGCCATTGTTATCCAAACCTCCACACATGCTCTTCTTGTAAGTGTAGAGTAAAATAAAGCGTCTCAGCTAAGGTCGTAACTGACTACAGCATTTCAAAATCTCTTTAAGAATCCATTCCAGCCAGGCGGTGCCGGAGGTACACCTTTAATCCCAGCACTTGGGAGGCAGAGACAGGCAGATCTCTGAGAGTTCGAGGCCAGCCTGGTCTACAGAGTGAGTTCGAGGAAAGGCTCTAAGGCTACACAGAGAAACCCTGTCTTTAAAAAACCAAAAAAGAAAAAGAAAAAAAAAAAGAAAGAAGAGAATCCATTCCAAGTTAAATCTTTGGAAGGCAGGAGGAATTCAGCTGAAGACGACAGAGACATGAGAATGGGAAGGGTCACAAAAGGGATTTTTTTTAAGGTCAATACTTTTGGTTTTCAGATTGAAACCTAGGGTTTCAAAAGCTTAGAATGAGTTAAAATTCACTTTGTTGATAAAATAACCTTATTTTCGTGTGTGTATGTGTGTGTGTATGAGTATATGTGTATATGTGTGTGTATGTGTATATGTATGTGTGTGTATGTGTATATGTGTATATGTATGTGTGTGTATGTGTATGTGTGTGTATGTGTATATGTGTATGTATGTGTATATGTGTGTATGTTTATATGTGTATGTATGTGTGTGTATATATGTGTGTATGTATGTGTGTGGTATATGTGTATATGTCTGTGTGTGTGTGTGTGTGCTCGCATCAATGCATGTGGGGGACATGGGTATCTTGCTGTCATGCTCTGCCTTGTTCCCTTGAGCCATGGCCAATCACTGAATGCAGAGCAGGCTGGTGGCCAGCAGCCCCAGCCATCCCCGTCTCTGCCCCCACAGCACTGGGGTGGCAAGCACTCGCACCTAAACTTTGCTTTTTATGTGGGTTCTGGAGATTTGAACCCAGGGCCACATGTCTGCGCAGCAAGTCCTCTTATCTGCTGAGTCCTCTTCCCAGCACTGACCTCCCCTCAACTTCTGTTTGTACCGACCAAAACCTTTCATTAATGTGGAGCAAATATAAAGATATCTATCCTGAAAAACCCATATTTCTAACCAACTCCTAAACCTTGATATTAAGAGCTGGAGTTATAGACATTTAAGTTTCCATGACATCCCTGGCATTGTAAATTCTCAAGTTTCTGTTTTGGTTATTGTCTTAATGACTATTTTCCCTCACTCCGCCCTCCAGATAAAGGAAGTCACAGTAAACAGAGACTGTGGATAATATACATAATTACGTGCATAGTCCCATAAACTTGAGTCTAGTTTGCAGCATCCACTACCAGCTTATCCACATCCATTTGTTTCTTCAAAACTACCTGAAGAATTAAATGAGACCAATTTTTGGTTCCTAGGAGACAAATCAGTTATTCTAAAAATAGCATGTGATGTAAACCAGTGCTACGAATAGAAACCTATGGTTACATGAGCCAAATCTACAGAGAAGCTGCCAGCAACCACTAGCTGTACATTAACTACAACTGCAGGACTGTTCTCATGAGGAAGTTATTATAAACACCTTAGTCAACACAAAATCCCTGATTTATGACTGTCTCGCTCTGTTTATTAGTAACCAGTTTGTGAGGAAACTGCCTTGGTAATGTCTCCAGTTTCCTTCAGGATGCCAAAAATCAACCATATAACGCCTGGGAGACCTCGGGATGAGCCAGAGTATGGATTAAGCATCATGTGCAGCATTTCAGGCCTAATTTTTAGATATGAGAGTGCATGTGTCTGTGTATGTGTTCAGGGACATGTGTGTACGTGCTTGAGGAGGCCAGAGGGTGATCTTGTGTGTCGTTCAATGGGATCCATCTATTTTAGCCTCAGCTAGCTGGCCAGGGAGGCCTAGAGATTCACCTGTCTCTGCTTTGCAGTGATCTGACTACAGGCGCTCACTATGTCCAGCTTTGGGGTTTTTCTTTTTAAACATGGGAATAGAACTCAAGCCCTTGTATTGAAAGTCAAGACTATACTTTTCCACATTCCAGAACCTTTAAAGATGCCCTGAGCACCATGAAAACAAAGAACCATTATGTCTGATGTAGTACAGATATTTAGCGTTAGTAAAGCTGGCTATAATCACTAAGGCATAGGATTACTATAATCATCAGATTCTATTCCTCTGAGTTTATAAGACAAGAAGGCTTCAAAAATGTCACATTACTTGCTCACATTAAGGGAGGATGGGAGAGGAAAGGGGTCATGGTTCACTCTCTGGAACCTCACAGCTCCCTCTTTCAGGGGTGCCAGGAAAGACTCCACCTGCCTGTCTTAACTTTTTTAGATACCCATCATCGAAGAACCCTAAAAATAGCCTTTTCATAAAGGATTAATTTTTTAATATAAACTCCCAGAAGTGGTAAAATATACTCAGTGAGGATTAAAAATCTAGACAATGGTACCAGGTTACTCCCTTTCCAAGGACACTAGCCTAAATAGTGCTCAGAATAGGGCTTCCAAATCTTTTTTTTTTTTTTTTCTTTCGAGACAGGGTTTCTCTGTGTAGCTTTGCGCCTTTCCTAGGACTCACTTGGTAGCCCAGGCTGGCCTTGAACTCACAGAGATCCGCCTGGCTCTGCCTCCCGAGTGCTGGGATTAAAGGCGTGCGCCACCACCACCCGGCAAGGGCTTCCAAATCTTAAAGCCAGTTTGAATTCCTGCATAAAAACTATACTTGAGTTTGCAGTTGCCTCAAGATTTATTTCTGTTTAGGTCTGGATGGAAACACAATCTCTCAAAGAAGGCCATGAGGAAAGAGTCTGTGGAGCTGTTGGCTGCGCAGGAGTCATCAGTCTTCTTTCTGAGTAAGGCTGCTGAGAACCTCTCCACCAGTTACAGCCTGCCTCGTGTGTCACCTGTCTCCCTAGTCCCTCCCCACCCACAACAAAAACACTCACTTCTCTAAGGAACTCAAGCGCTCTGCGTGTCCTGCCTCTGCAGTACCATGGCTGTCTCTTCATGATGGGGAACCCAAGCGTCTACAGTACCATGGCTGTCTCTTCATCATAGGGAACTCAAGCCTCTGCAGTACCATGGCTGTCTCTTCATCATAGGGAACCCAAGCGTCTACAGTACCATGGCTGTCTCTTCATCATGGGGAACTCAAGCCTCTGCAGTACCATGGCTGTCTCTTCATCATGGGGAACCCAAGCCTCTGCAGTACCATGGCTGTCTCTTCATCATGGGGAACCCAAGCCTCTGCAGTACCATGGCTGTCTCTTCATCATAGGGAACCCAAGCCTCTGCAGTACCATGGCTGTCTCTTCATCATGGGGAACCCAAGTCTCTGCAGTACCATGGCTGTCTCTTAACAGACAGTGCTCTGCTTCTGGTATCCATTTCTTTACCTCTCCTTTGCTTATTCATTGTTTTGTTTGTTTGTTTGTTTGTTTTGTTTTGTTTTTTTTCTCTTCCTTTTCTAGCTGAAGAACTTTCTGTTCTATGGATATATCCCATTTTATTTGTTCATTCACTATTTAATAGGTATTGGAGTTGTCTCTATTTGTTTGGTTGTTATAGCTCATGCTACGGTGAATATTTAAACAGTTATATACAATGATGCTTTCGTTACTCTTAGGCAGGGATGGGATATGCCCAGGACTGACCAGGTCCTCACCAAACTAAATATAAGGACACCATTTCACAATCCCATTAGCAAAGAACAGGGTTCAGATTCCCTGTACCTTCACCAACAGCAGTTACTGTCTTACTACAGCTGCCCAAGTGTGTGTCAAGGGGCTATTCCACTGTGGTTAGGACCTGTAATGTCCTGACAGGTAAGAGCACGGTGCTGCCGTTAGTATGCTTATTGGACAGGCTTCGCATTCCTCCCTTAGCTCTCTGCCATCTGGCCCCTCCCATCATGACGTCACCACACAGTGCCTGTGCTGGTCAGCCCGCTGCTCTAGTCACAGACTGACCTCCTTCTCTCACTTGGCCTTCTCTGCAGCAGGCAGCATCTGGAACCCTCTTGTGAAAAGACTGACAAACCCTCCAACGTCATAACACGGACTCACCCACCCTGACAATCTGCTCAGAAGAAACAAACGGAGTGGGGAATAAAACAGTGCTGCTGTTCTCCAGGACAGCGCCACACATCCTCCTGGGTAACCAGCATCTTCTTTCTGAGACTCTCCACCAATCTGGCAGCTCCCAAACTTAAAATGCTCACAGGGCTGACTCGATTAATTAGCAATGTGCAAAACCCTGCCTTGGTTATTCCTGAAAATTTATGGATTACGAACCCAGGAAAATAGGTCCTAGAATTGTACTTTCACCTCATGCACAAAGGTGTACAGAGAGAATTCCTGCTCAAGGAGCGAGCATTTATTTTCCTGATATCTTATTTATTATTTGTAAGGCACAGGCTTACTAGTGTAAAAAGCATCAGAAGAGCTACTTCACAATCACAAAGGCAAAAGCAAAGCCACATTATTCTGTCTTATGTTCTAAATCATGTTTACTATAAAACAATACATTGTAATTATAAAATTATACAATAGATAATATATGCAATATTGTATTATTGTATAATATTGTATTACATATAATATCTATTATATAATTTTATATATAGCTAATTATATAATTAAAAATTATAAAACAGTATCAAATTAATAATTTGACACTGGCGCATATCAAAAATGTTAGAATATGGAATAAATCTGAGAATTTAAATCTGAGAAATGGGCCCCAAAACCACAGTGACATGTCAGACGTTTTATTTGACATGTTCTTGTTTATACCTGGGGACTCACCCGCACTAACTCGTTCATTAGACACCAGGGTCTAATGAGTAGGGCTGGATACCAGGACAGGCATGAGGAGACAAATTTACAACTATCTAACTCCCTCCCTCACCCAGAAAGGATTAGAAGTCTGGATGGCCAGAGGGCTGCAGGTGTTTCTATGTGTTCCTTCCTTTGGGCTAACCTAACCCTCCAGAGTCCTGGTGGGCATGTGAATACTCTACCTGCTGGGGGATGGTCTGTATGTAAAATGTGTTGCTCTGATTGGCTAATAAATAAAACACTGATTGGCCAGTAGCCAGACAGGAAGTATAGGCAGGACAAGGAGAGAGGAGAATTCTGGGAAGTGGAAGGCTGAGGCAGAGAGATGCTGCCAGCCGCCACCATGATAAGCAAGATGTAAGGTACTGGTAAGCCACGAGCCATGTGGCAATTTATAGACTAATAGACATGGGTTAATTTAAGGTAGAAGAACTAGATAGCAAGAAGCCTGCCATGGCCATACAGTTTGTAAGCAATATAAGTCTCTGTGTGTTTACTCAGTTGAGTCTGAGCAGCTGTGGGACTGGCGGGTGAGAAAGATTTGTCCTGACTGCGGGCCAGGCAGGACTGGAGAAAACTCCAGCTACATCTACCTTTGTATTTACTCACACAGAAAAGCTAAAAACAGGAAATGTTTCCCTTGGGGGCAGGGGAAACAACTTCATTCTAACAGAATTCTTAGCATTAAATACAGATAAATACCTTTCCTGGTTCATCCTAAAAGCCACACATCTCTAAAGCTTACCTTAAAATTAATTTGCATCATTGGGAGGAGGTGAACCAAAGTACTGCACATGTCTGTAGTTATGAGGGAACTGACTTCTGGTATATTGAAGCACTGCAAAGTTTTATATTTTTCTTGGGACATGCCCACCTTTGAACCCAAAACATCAGCAATGGCTGTAGGCAAAGCAAAAGATGAAAAACAATAAAATCATAGCTTGTTAAATAAACAAAGTTATAACCTACTCAAATTGTAAAATAAGAGTTTACCAAATAAAAGACAAATTCACAGAATCACACGTTCTCACTTTAACCACAAATGGCCAAATGACCTTGCTCATCAGCTCTATGGAATTAACAAGCTGAAGGCCAAAGCATTCTTCTCAAAGTCTAACTCCTCATTTAAAATCTACAAAGGAAGTGTGGAAAGCAGAGGCGCTGAAATGTGTGCTCAGTGGTTAAGAGCACAGAACGCTCTTGCAGAGGCCCCAACTTTGTTCCCAGCGTTCTAGTTGGTGGCTCACAACCACCTGAAATTCCAGCTCCAGGGTAATCTGATGCCCTCTTCTGGCCTCTGTGGGCACCTGTACTCACATACACAGAAACATACACACATGTACACATGGTTAAAAATAAAATCATCATAAAGAAGAGAAAGCAACAGAGAAAGAGCTAGATGGAAAGGACCACGTTTGGACATGTTAATTTCACTCCATCTTTGAAGCTGGCACAGTGTCAGCTTATTCAAGAAGTGGGGAGCACTCTGCAGAGACAAAACAGCCTACCACCCAGACAAACTACAGGAAGACAGAGCAGTCACTCAGGAGCAAAAGTTAACTTGTTCTCTGACAGTCTGCTAGTGCTTACCACAGGGAACGATGCAATACGGCTGTGCAGTAAGCACCTTTCAAAGCTAATTAAGATCACAATGCTACACAGATTTTGCCGACAGACAGTCTATAGACATAAGTGTGAACATAAATGCACTTATCAAATGCTTCCACACAGTTTGGCCTCCTGGCTTAAATGTATCAAACACTATGTGCTTTCTCTCTAACTTCAAAGGTAACACTAGATCATGTCAGAAAACAAATATCTAATGCAAGAGTAGAGACTGAAAGGGGCTTATGCAAGAGAAGCTGATCTTTATAATATATTAATGTGAATTAGATACCGCTACCACCCACCGAGGAAGACTTTCTCCTTTCCGATACAGTAAGTGCCACAGACAATGAGAGCACGTGGGTTTAGAGTTACAGCCTCGAAGGCCGCGTTGATGGCAAACTGGATAACATCCTGCTGAGATGGGAAGGTGTACTCTGGGCTGCAGTACCTGCAACAAGGAGATGCCCTTCTTAGTAACAGGAGTATGAAAGCCGTGGCTCTGCTTGGAGGCTACTTTAGAAGAAAACAAACGAGCAAATTACACGCACCAGGAGTACAACAGATTCAAAGCACACAGTCTCACGCTGCCTAGAGTGAAAAAAAAACCTATTTCCAGTTACTGCCAATTTATGGTAGAATAATAGTTTTTCAACATACATTTTTAATTATGTTTTTATCATCCTCAAATTTCCTTTTGAATACTTTTTCTCAATAAGAATATTTCTACCCAGTTAACCACTTTATTTATGAATGATAAAACTCAGTATCTATTTTTAAAACTCAAGTCACTATCAAAGAAAATATAATTGAAAGAGATTATATTTGTAGGAAAGAATTCTACAAAAAAAAAAAAACCTCAAGGGTTACAAGGACATACTGTTCTTCCAGGGGACCTGAGTTCAGTTCCCAGCACCCACATCAGTAGATGCTAACCTAACCTGTGACTCCAGCTCCAGGGATCCAGTGTCTTAGGCCTCCACCGGGACTGTACTCAACTGCATACAGACTCATAATTAACTCATACAGAGACATAATTAGAAATAATAAAAACAAAGCTCTTAAAAAATACAACAGAGCTTTCTCGACCAGATACAAAAACACCCGGTGAAAGGCTGGCCCCAAGCTATTATCTGCATATATTTTGGGATGAAAAGGATGACCTTGCCAAATGATAACTCACTCTAAACACCAAACAAATGATTTCTCATGACTTTCAGAATTGTTTTTGTTACTCAACCATCAAATGGGAAAGAATCTCGGTCCTTTCTCCTGTGAAAACTCACAAGGAAATTCGGAATCAGTGAAGAAGAAAAAGAGACTTCTTTGACTTATCTATTACTTAAAGTACAGAGGATGAAACTGTCACTGTGGGCAAACTGGCTGTGGGAAGACTTGTCCTCGGTGCTCGGTGCTTCTGCTTTCTTAGAGAGAGACTGCCTTTCACTAAAACACCTCATCCACAATCCTTGAACTATTTAAGAATTAATTCCCCACAAATCAGTAAGTTATTTTATTATATGATATACAGTGTATATCACAAATATATACAATTTCTGTTGATTATCCCTTAAAAAGCTGAGACTACATAATTTAAATATAATCTCTTATGCAATTATATTTGTATCACTGAAGGATTCAAAGGTGCCACTTATAAGTTACCTTTTGAAAAAAAGAACAAAAGTAATTCCAATAATCATAAACAAAACTGAATCGTGGCCTCTGTTTCCTCTTCACAATTATACCCAATAACTATATGGACACTTCAGGAAAATAATAAAAATAATTTAAAGGATGTTTTCTTAAAAGACCCTCAAGTTTTCTTTCTTTAGTAACAGGATTGTCCTATAAACATTTAAAAAAAATACCAATAAAAATTATGATATTTATTTCTAAATTTGTCTTTTAGCAGGTACTTTTTTTAATGGCATCCTTTTGATAAACACTCCTAAAAACAATTGGCTGTAAACCATCATTTAATTATCTAAGGACAAGCTTCAATTACCCATCAAATGCAGAGCAAAGCTCTCACTGGGAGGAGAGAGAACTCAGAGAAAGCATGTCTTACGTGGTGTCTAAGTAGAGCGTGTGGACCTGATGGCATGCAAGAAGAGAGCGCTCCATGCTGGGGTCTGCTCGGAAGTCTCCAGTGTGCAGTACGACAGCGCCGTTCGGAAGACGGAAAAGGACCATGACGGCACCTGGACAGCTGGACACAAACGTCTTAGAGGAACATGCAGGGCACAGACAAAGTGCTGGGAGCAAGGGCACTTCCTCCAGCGTCAACCAGAGCACAGATGTTATGAGCTGAGCACAGGTGTGCAGGGGAGGTACTCCAGTCTCAGGCGGACATTCCTAAGAAGGTCCTGTTTTCAGGACAGGCTGGCTCTGGGCCCTCAGGACAGTTTCTGTCTGATAAAAGTACTAGCTTGACCAAGCAGTTTGTGTGAACTATGTGATCTGTGGTAAATATTTCGATAACGTTAACTCCAAAAATATCAGAACTCAAACTGGCAATGAAAAAAAGGAATATTAGCAAGGCCAGAAGACAACTTTTCTTTTTTCTTTTCCCTTCCTTCCTTCCTTCCTTCCTTTCTTCCTTCCTTCCTTCCTTCCTTCCTTCCTTCCTTCCTTCCTTCCTTCCTTCCTTTTTTAAGAATCTAACATGACAAGATTGGCCTGGACTTCAGCAAATCTAGATTTAGCCTTTCTCTTTTCTCCAAATGCCTGTTATCTCTGTGGACTAGGCTCACATCCCAGAAAGAAGCACAATGGGTAGCCGTGTTTGGGCAACATGAATCATGATAGCACCTGACATTGGGAGACAGATCTGAAGAAGGAAAAAGAGGGAGGAAAAGAAGAAAAAGAAGGAGACAGGGAGGGAGAGAGACAGAGAGAGAAAATACCATCTATTTCCATGGAAAAAGAAAGCTTCCAAACCTTTAGAGTCTAAAATGGCGTGATTTTTTTTTAAGTTTAAAATCATTTAGTTTAGGGTGGGGAGCAAGGCACCAATTCTCAGGTATCCAAATGGAATATAAGATTTTACTTTATGTAAATTACATTAAGGAAAATGGAAAACTTCATTTCTGAAGAACAGTAACAAAATACTTTTTAAAAATATAAACTGCTGTAAGTTGACATTGGGTTAACAACATGGGTTAGATAATAGATTCTCTTTACATTTAATGTAATACTAAAATTATTTTTTCAAAAGTAGCAATAGGATTTACTCCAGTTTAAGAACCAAGTTCTTTAGCTCTCAGCTCTGGAACAACCATGCCACCTCTTTCTTTGTGAACAGTTTCAAATGGGCACCTTGCATGACTGAGGGGCCGTCCTACTTACTGATTGGCATCCAGCAAAACCACCTTGACACCGTCCACTGTACACTCAGTGTCCATCGGCAACTGATGGACGTACTGTTCTTGCACACGAAGCTTCTTCTTCAACAAATTGCCAGTTATCTGCAGAACGGTGAATTTGTTGCTGGTGTTATGTTCACACCCAGTTAAAAGCATGCTACTGTCTCAGTCACCTCCGGTCCCCACTGTGAGGTGAGTGAGTTCTCCACTCCAGGAAAGAGTCTGTGAGATAGCCAGGTCACCCTTCTGCTTGTTCACCTGGGGAAGCTCCATCCCAGCAGGAGGCACAAACTGCTTCCTCACCTGAGCACCGCCCACTACTGTGGGTTTATCTACTCCCTGTGTTTTCCTGGTATGTTGCAGATATTCTGAACTTTCTGAAAGCCCACAGACTACCCAAACCATTCTTTTTTTTTTTTTTTCACTAAGAAAAGAGGATACCTCATGAATGCTGTGAGGATTAAACCAAAGCCTCACTAAAAGCCCCTGGGAACCAGGATTAAAATGGTCACCATCTAATAGCCAGTTCAAGGCATTCTGCACGGTGAAACTTCCTCTAAACTTGGCTGGGGACAGAGTCTGAGGTACCACTGTTGCAGTACTAACCCCACCCAAGCTTTATCTGTGAATGTTACCTGTAGAAGCTACAAGCTCCCTAGGGCTACGTGTTTCATCTCATATTTACTTAGGCACTCAAAAAAATGTTTACTGAGTGAAACTTGGGTTATAGAGTATACTGTGAGAGCATTATTGTCCTCACATAATAAAATATGCTTTAACAATAGGTTGTACAGTTGAATTGCTTTTCGACCTCATGCAGGACCCATCCTCTCCACTACAATGCCGGCTCTTCTGGTTCCAATATTCTATTTCTTACCAAGCTCATCAGTCACAACATCCCACAAAGACCGAGTTCAGAGCACTAAAACTTACCTCACTACAGTAAATTGGCAGCGTGAAGTCCTTGGACAAGCCAGCGTAATGATCAGAATGGAAATGTGTGAGGAAATAGGCCGTGCAGCCTGCAACCTCGCCGTACTGGAAAGCATCCACAGTGAAGCCAGTTCCTGCAACCAGATGCCCCGGTGGGATGAGCAGGAGCCAGGATGGTCACAGCCTGGGTTCCTTCTAAAGACCAGGCCTCCCTACTCTGCAGCTCTCATTTAACCCTCAATTAACCATGACTGACTTAAAAACGTACATTTACCGAAAGGTAAGAAAACTCCTGTGTCTACTAAATATCCCATTGTAGAGACGTGTGAATAGTTTCACCAAAAAAATTAGTTGAAAGATATTAAGTTACAAACCAATCATTCCTTTGCCCTAATTAATACTTTTGCAATACTGATACTGGGGGTGGGGGGGCGGCAACTGAAACCTAATTTCTACAAAGCAATGACAGGAGAACTCCCAAACCAAGCAGGGCGGCCGCGGCGGCCACACCTTTAATCCCAGCACTCGGGAGGATCTATATGAGTTCGAGGCCAGCCTGGTCTACAGAGTGAGATCCAGGACAGGCACCAAAACTACACAGAGAAACCCTGTCTTGAAAAAAAACAAAAAACAAAATAAAACAAACCTCCCAAACCATTAATTTCCAATGAGGGTGAAACTGATACACTTTTCTGGAGTCAAAAATGGTTGGGACCAAAGAACTTAGAAGCATGTGCAGTCCTCCAAAGGGTCAAAGTGAAATAAAAAACAGACAGTAGTGTCTACAGTCCTTGAATTTCCTTTCAGGGTAGTGGAGGAGTAAGGAACCAAGAAGGAATTGCCTCAAGAGTCTCCCCAGAGGGACAATAACAAAAATGAAGTTGAGAAATATGGATCTAAAATGTGCTTATGAAGAAACAGTCAAATGTGCTGACAGGTAAATGCAGGTAAATAAACTCAACTTCACATTTCTACTGAGCACTAGATACACAATACACAGTGCACTAGAGTATAAAAGCAATAATCATTGAAAACAAAACATCACTGAAGCATTTTTATGCAATACTGAGAAGCTGAGTACATGACTATTGTTTTATTGTATAGTACTGAAGGGTCAGTGGTGGTTGTTTTATTGTATACTGTTGAAGGGTCAGTGGTTGTTGTTT